TCCCCCTCCTCCTCCTCATTTCGTTTTTTTGTTACGGAGCCTCCCTCGCTGTCTGTTTTCAAGCGCAGCCAGCACCCTTTGATCTTCACGAAACAGTGTTCGCACACAGTGAGCACTCCGTTTTTAACGTTTAAAAATTTTCACACCTGACCACCTGCGTTGAGTCTATGGAAAACTGTCCGGAACGAGGGTGACTCATAGGTTTGTGTACGAAAAAAATTTCCCAAGATGAGCGTGCAGGGGCGAAAGAAGAAGCAGCAGCCGGGAATTGCTTCTTCTTGCCTTTTGAGAAGGGATAACAGCCGCCAACGCGGGGAGGGAAACAAGTGAGTCAGCAGTTGGGGCTTGGTAGGACCAGGCACAAACTGTCTCTGTCTGTAAGCCCTAGCCGCCTCACTCCTGACTCATATTTAGGGCTTTGTACACTAACGCCAAGAAGGTCGTTTCGTAGGCGTAATTAGGCCGATTTGTCGAGCCCTCTGGGCCTGTCATATGATTAAGCCTGATTTCAAGGTGGGACATGGTCGCTCAGTCTAATTGCAGTTGCATTCAAGCATTTCCAGTCGGCTACGTGTCGGAGAACACCCATAAATGGAGAACTTTTACTGACAAGGCGAGACAGGACCTCCGTCCAGAAATCGTGCCTCCACGGTAGGTAGCACTGCCATGCGGTTTTGTGCTTTCTCGATAGCAACCGATAGAGTGCTAGTTAATGACCCAGGTGGTAGAGTGTAAAGCTCAGTGAGCAGCTAAGCCCGAGTTCCGCTCTCCGGCGTTTTCGGTCCGTGGGTGGTTGTTTGTTGATGATAAAGAAGCCAGAATTGTCTCTTCAAAAGTCATCTGTCCTTTTGGTACGAAGTACCAATGATCCGTAACTGTATTTATTTACTACCGCCATATTGCGCCGATCGTAAATGACAGACATGCGAGTTTACGCTCACCTAACTCATGGCCAGGTTAGTCTTCATCATAACTGCGGACAGTTTAAAACCAGAACTCCATCTCAGTGATCTTTCAGGACAGACATCCGCTTTGGCGTTTCGGTCACAGAAATCAGAACTAAAACCCCCTATTCTTAGTCTATATGAGGACGCAATTACTAAGACGTATTTCAGGTCTATCCGTACTCATACTGGTAGCATCGTACTGGCTGGCAAAATCGTGAAACAGTAAACCACTGACGGCTGATTTGGTGATTGATTGATCCGTCAGCCTCAATCTTTAGAACGCATACATTTCAACAGAAGGAGAAGAAGAGACG